CCACCGGGCCGGCCCCTGAATCCCATTTTCACTACTTAGTAGCTATTGTGACATTGTTTAAGTTAGTTAACCTTGCTCACTTCAGTTTTCTCATCTGTAATATACTCAAGAGCACTCTTATAGGGCTGTATATGGTTCAAATTAGTCTGATATATAATAAAGCACTTAAATAATACCTGTTACATAGCAAATGCTCAATAAATGTTACTGCCATTATTGTTAATTCTTTACATCTTATTCTCAAAATCTAGATAAAGTATATATTGGAAGATAAATGGTTTATTCCTGGTAGGATCATGTTTAATATGAATTATTTTTTAAAAATTCTATATAATTTATAGTGTATCTTTTTCTTTATTATTAGGTCAGCTGTATGGATATATATTGGAAGATAAATGGTTTATTCCTGGTAGGATCATGTTTAATATGAATTATTTTTTTAAAATTCTATATAATTTATAGTGTATCTTTTTCTTTATTATTAGGTCAGCTGTATGGACTAGAAAAGTTTTGGGCTTATCTGAAATATTCTCAATCTAAGACACAGTCTATTGACCCAAAACTTCAGGAATACCTCTGTAGTTTTAAGAGGTTAGAAGACTTCCGTGTTGATGTAAGTTTTAAGCCCTTTCCTCTATTCTTTTTAGTACCCATATATTTCAATCTCCTATCAGTAACTTTCTTAAATTTAATTTTACAATTGTTTTTTAACTTTTCATTTCGAAAATTTAGCTTTTCAGTTTTGAAATCAAGCTTTGGAACGGGTGCAAAAATAGTTCAGATAATTCCCATATATCTGTTCACTCAAATTTTTCAAATGTTAACATCTTATATAACCACAGTGCAGTTGTCAGTTTGCTTTAATTTTGACATGCCCCTATAATTGAACATTTTCCAGATTTAATAACTGTTATCTGGATATGCTACTCATTTCTCACCAGCAGTTTGAAACTTTTCACTTTTTAATGTGCTTATATCCATATAGTTCTTGTAATGTGTGCTGATATGGATTTAGGGTTCTTGCATAATAAAATTGAGAAAAGAATGTTATTTGCATATGTGAAGGCAGGAGAGTAGACTTTAATAAATTTGGTTTTAAGAGGAAAAGGAAAGCATTATAAAAATGGGATGAACATAAGATAAAGGAAAAGGGGGAAGAAGAGAAACAAAAAAGATATAAGGAAAGAAGAAAAATAAAGTAGAAGAGAGGGAAGTAAAAGGAAGGCTAGATTCATCTCTGCTTAGTGTTGTAGTTTTTTGTCTTGCAGTTTTGTTAGTGGATTAGTTGGCTAAGGGATGGAGTTAACTGTGTCTCTGGAATTATGATCTATTTTTTTAAAGTGGCCTAGCCAGTTCTGTCACAAAGATGTCCTGGCTCTATAATGACGATTCTTGCCCTATCTAAATGTAGGCTAGGATTCAGACCTCCTCTTTTAAATACAATGGAAGATTGAGAAGGAGATTAGTGTCTTAACTTGCCCTCTAAATAAAAATATTAGTCTAGTTGTATACAGCTCTGGTCTCCTCAATCTCTATAACTGGAAAGGCCTAAAATTGCTGACCTTTTTTGAATGTTGGATACTTTTTCACTGTTCACCTCTCTCCTGCTTGCAGTCTGAAGGGATTTAGGAGTTTTATATGGGTACTTATGTTTGAAGATGTTTAAATTTAGTACTGTTAATAATACTCTCCAGTCTCCTTATTCTAAGAATCCTAGATAAACCTTCAAACTTGCTGAAGCTCCTTTGACTTGGCATCCCCTTTTTTCCCCTGCTGCTTTCATTCATCTATTACTTAAACGCAATCACTTAAGCAAGCCTAGGATAGGAGTTTAGGGTTGAGGAAGGGACTAGAGTTACAAATCTTTCGCAGCTGACAGAAGTTGACTAAAGAAGGAAAATGGCCTCACTGAAACATTTTATTGGAGGCAAGGCCTTATGCTTATGCCCTATTATGTAACTCAGGCCCTAAAACATTAGAGAAGTTTAATAAATGTAAGTTGAGTGAAAGAATGGGCAAATTCTGGTAAGATGATTTAGTTAGGAAATTTAAGCTTAGCATCCTAAGTTGCTATTAAGTTTTCATCATGCCAATAAAGTCTGCTGTAGTGCCAACATAATTTCCTCTTCATTGGAAAAGTCTGGCCTTAAATTTTGAAGCAAGAAAAAGCAGTATAATTGTCAATTATGTTGTCTTGCATGATTTGCAGCCCCCTATTAGTGAGGAATTTGGAAGAAAAAGACATTCATCTACTTCTGGTAAGGAGAGTAATCGTCATAGTCTTCCATCTAATTCTTCTGCAAAGACACCAAATGCTGCTAAGCCTACACCTGCCAGTCAGCTTCAAGCCCCAATAAAGTCTCCCAGAAGGAATACTTCACAGGAATTCAACAACAATTCACACCATAACAGTGCTGCATCGGTCTCAACAAATGGTGAAATGCCTGAGAAATAGACTCTTAACGAAAGTTGTTTGTCCTTGAAGTCAACATTTACATCAGTATTTATTTCGGGAAAATCTTCTGATGTTTAATTGTGATAATCAGAAATAAGAAAAAGGAAGAAAAGTGGTAGAATTTTTTCTAGCAAGATAAATTCTAAAAATGTTTTCCTTGATTTCACAAACAAGGATAGTTTTGGTGACCTTTTATAGA